TATTTTAAATTTAGGTACTATAATAATTGATTCAGACTTTGATTATTCTATAAACTCAGACGATTGTATGAATAAGCCTTATAATCCATACAATGTTATTGTTTATTATCTTGACTTTCTGATTATGCTTTTAATTATAACTACAAATTTTAATATAGATACTTTGCTTTTGGGAATTTATTTTCTAATAAATGGGTGGTTTTCTTTCCATATTTGCACTTTTTACAAGCTAGAAAGTAGATTCTGGAATACTTTCACTTATTTATATTGTGGTGCACTTTGCTTAACATTTTACATCTCTTTTGAAGTCTCCTATATTTCTAGTGTACCTTCCTTGATGTTGGTTATTTATATACCTATTTTTTATAAGCTGACTTAATATTTTTGTAATTGGTAAGAGAAAACTCACAATGATCTCCTCAAAGATATTTTCGGAGAAAATAACAATATTAATTTGAGTAGTATAGATAGAATTATTAGGTTATAATTAATAAAAGATTTATAGAATTAAAAAGTTGATGATTCAGAGAAGATAAGTATTTATAGCTTTATCATCAAAAGGAAATAGCAATTTTAAAATGAACAAATTAACTAGCTATAAACCTAAACTAGTAATTAACTTTCTTTAAAAATACTGATAAAAGAAATAGAAAATGGATAAAATGAAGATTAAAGTGTTTTGTAGTTTTTCAAAGAATAAATATAATCAATTTCAAATAAAAAGAGTGAGGAAAATAATAGAATAGTCTTTTTGGTATATTTACTCGAGGTTATGAAATGCAATAAAGCCTATTTTCTTGAATTTTAACAAATAAGAAAGGAAAATTTAGGTCTAAAGTAAGAATAAATTTTAATGACGGCTCATATTAAATTCTTATATAAAAGATAAATCTTATAATAAACATTAAAAATGCAAAATATTTTTGACTAGTAATTTTATAGAGTGCTCAATTACGAAGAAAAAATACAAAAAACCTTCTAAATCATGGACTAAGCAGTTTATTAGAAAGTAGAATTTATTTCTCTTTTAAAAAATAAATAGATTGATGTTTTAAATTTGGTAAAAAAAGTTACTGAATTAAGAAAAATTTAGTTAAAAGTTAGAAATAACATAAATGAGTTATCAATTATTAATAGCTCAAATAAAGATTTAGTTTCTTTGTAGATCTGCTACTTAGAAACTCTTTCCTTTCAAGAAAAAGATTTAATTATAGATCTTGATCTGTCATATTTAAATGAAATTCACCTTTCTTAAATTGACACTCAGTTAATAAAATAAAAACTTAAAATAAGACAAGCTTATGCTAAACGTTTCTAAAATAAACAAATTGATGATTCCTATAATCCTTACTAGGATTTTAATCTTTTTAGCAAGTAGTCATGTGTTATTTATGCGTAAATAGAATAAAATTATAATTTATCTATCAAGAAAGTATCTTCTTCCTTTTTACAAGTGTTTGGAATCACGTAATAAGATGCCTAAGATAAAAGAGTAGAAATTTTAATGCCTCCAAATACAAATTTGATTAATTAGCATAGATAATATATTGTAAGCTATTTTTAAAATTAAAATAACAATGTATGTTATTTGAAAAAAAAAAATCTATTTGGTTACTAACAGTAAGGCTTTATATTTCCCATTAAGGTTGATGTCCGTCTAAATTACAGTAACGGGTTGAATCAGATAGGGCTTACAGCTTATATCTAGCGCATTTATGACGAAAATGATTATATTTTGTTCCAATCTGATTCTTTAAATGTGATTGGTGCAACTTAAAATATTTTGAAGAACGTCTTCTTAAAAAATAATATAGAAATATAGAAATAATCAGATTTAGGTTAATTCTTTCCATTTTTATACAAATTAAAGCAGGATAAAAAAGCTAAACTATAACAATAATAAAAGGAATTTTAAGAAATCTAAGATTTTGAAACTAAAAAAGTTAATTCTTTGAAAGAATTATTATCTCAAAAGAGCATTAATTAAAAATATACCAAAATCTTAGATGAACATAATTTTGAAAAGTTCAAACTACATAATTAAGAATATATGCTTATCATTTAAAATTTTTAATCTTCTAACCAAGTTAAAAATTAAGTTAAACTTTAAAATATATCTTTCTCTTTAGTTGAAATAAGCATTAATGACTGCGAATATAAAGATGTTGATAACTTGTACTATATGAAAATATCTAAAATAAAACCTGTTCAACCGGAATTGAATTCATCTATAATTCTAAAGTATCTTAAGGAGTATTAAGAGTTTTATACTTAAGTTTTTACAAAAAATACTTTAGAAACTTTGTAAACAGAATTAGAATATAAGTTCTTAAAAATGGATTCTTTAGAAAAAAGCAATTTTAATTTTCAATTAAATTAACAAAATACTATTCAAAGTTAATTTAATTAAAACCAACAAAATTGTTAAAAGTGCTTGGAAGAAAATAAATTTTCAGAAAATAAAAGCTAAGATTTTGATAATTCGAATGAAAACAATACATTAACCCCTACAAAATCCAAATAATAAAGGATTAATACCATTAATAATAATTCTATTTATAAAATTTAAGAAGAAAACTCTCAACTAGCAACTAACAGTGAATAGAAAAGCCAAATATATCCTTAAAATAAATAAAATGATGCTTACCTGCAAGTAGAGATTCCTGACTAAAGTAACACCTATTATCATTCACCAAGAGATATTTTTAGCTAAAATTTTAGAAGTTAGTAAGATTTCATTTCATTATAACAAATAAGAGATAGCTACAACGAAAATGAAGAAATAAAATACGGCATTCCTTTAACTTCTAATAGAAAAGAGACAAATAGAGAACTTTTAAGTGAAGTTAATCTCTATAGTTAAGCAAATATAAACTCCCCAAAATAAAATTTTGATGAAAATCTATTATTTTAAAATGTAAAACAGGGTAACTTAAATAATAATGATAAAAACGGACAAATTTAAACAATTGTCAGTTTGAAATTAATTAATTAAGGAGGTTATAAAAATGAATAAATATAAGTATAGCAGCTATAAAGTACTCAGGAGATTACTTCTTTAAAAATGATAGATAATGCTCACTAAATAAATTCTTAGCAGAGGTTTTATCAAGATTAAGATATTTTATCTTAGAATTTATTAAACGTCAATGAAACTAAGGAAACAACTTATAAATTTTAAATGAAGAAGATGAAAAAACGAAACAAATAAAGGAACAAAGAAGACCAATTAGAAAATAACTCTTCTTCAGTTTCAAGAGAATCTTCTTCATCTACTAAAAAAAGATTAATTAAAACAATTAAAAAGTAGACCAGCTTATCTGCTATTAAGATCGTTATTTTATTCGGTGTGTTAACATACCTAGCACTAAGTATTCTTACAATTTAACAATATTTTAATTTCATAAATTCTGTTGATTTTATGAATTAAAATCTGAATTCTCAAAATTGGCCTTTCGAAATATAAATCGTAATTAGTAGATCTCTTAAAAATTTGAATATAATACATACTGAAAGATAAAATAATTTTACTTTTCCTTCTCAAGCAGATCATAATAAATTTGATGCTTAATTAATAAACTAATTGTAATAAAGCTAACAATAATTTATGTCCTTAATATAAACTATGGATTAGAGTGTAAAGGGTAAAATGCTTTATGATAGAATCAGTGTTTATAATTCTTCCTTTTACGTAAATTAGATTTATAATCCAAGTAACCTAACAAAGGCTCCTTCAAAAAGAACAACCTTTAATTTCGAATAAAAAAATTCATCCTTGCTATACTCCATCATTTTCATCAATTACTACATTTATTAACAATCAATTAATCCTACTGGAAAGCTATAAGAGGTTTGCATTCTTCAAAACCTTTAAGATATCCTACTAGGCGTCAAAGACACCTAAAATTACTTTTAAAATTATCAAAGTTAACAAGTTAAACAGATTTAAGATTCGTTATCTCTTTAAATCGGAGTGATTTTGGCTATATCTGCTATATGTTTGTTAAGTAGTCTTCCTCTATATTCATATATTTAAAAGAGAAAAGATAAAACAATTCAACTCTTCTGCACTTTTCCTGTCAGTCAACTATAAAACATTATTATTAAAATAAGGTAATCATATTACTAAAATAAAGTAATGAATCCTCATATAAAAAATATACCAATAGAAATTCAGATGCTCAATTATAAATCATAATAAGAATCTTAAAATCACAAAAAATAAACCCTAAGCTAAATAACAAAATTACCACATTTTAGCTATTCTCTTTTGATAGCTATTTTCATCTCTTATATTTTATTATCCTTCTATCCTATTTTCAACCGAATCTTCGTCTAAAAATATCTTGATAACTTGGATAATAATCTGATGATGCTTGGTAAATTTTTTAAACTTTAAACCAATATATAAATTTTTATATTATCTCAAATTTTTTCTTTTACTCCTTTTAAAGCAAATAAATATATTTAATAAAAAAATAAAATATTTTTAAAAACTTACTTTTTAATTTATTGAAATATTGAAAATAAAATAATTTATTTAACTTTTTTTTTTTTTTAAATAAAGAATATTTAAATACAGCCAGATCTTATATTATATACAGTTCAGGGATAATTTCTTTTGGATTTGATATGAAGGTTTTTCCAAGTTCAAGGATAGTGTAACTGAGCGATTACATTCCCGAAATGTAATCTATTATGAGCTAAACAAATAGCCTTCTGACTAATCTAACAATTGTTTCTAATTAATTTAATCTTAATGGAAGGTAAAATCTTATTTAATAAATTTAAATATTAAATAAAATAATAAAAAATTAGATATAAATAGTAATAATTTGAAAATTTCTTTTTTCCTTTGTTTGAAGATGATATGTGCGATTTGATATCGAATAATCCTTACTATACTATCAATTCTACTGTATTCAAACCATAATTATGTAAAACTATTTACAATGGTTTTCTCTAAAAAGGCTTAAAGCTATCCATAAAGTAGTTTAGCTAAAAACTACAAGAACTTTATGCAATAATATAAATTAATGATGAAAAAATATAAGTTAAAGCTGTTTAAGAAATATTTAAAACATTTAATATAGAGGATTATTCTAATTTAATAGATTATCTAGATGAAATCATTAAAATAATGAAATACTTTCTCCTAAGTAACTGTAGTGAATACTATCAATATCTAAAATAAGTGCAGCTAATTCTTATTATTTATCAGCTCATACTAATAGCTTTTATATTTGGCTTTTGCTGGTATGCATTTAGCAGTGTATTAGCTTAACAAATCACAAAATTTAAGCATCATTTATAGGTTATGAATGTTTATCATTTGCTTGAAAATAATTTTATTCTATCTTTTGTTAAAAACAATATAAAACTGTGAATTGTTTTTATTTAATTTTAACAAACAAATTTTATCAAAATTATCTATATCAATAAAATGTATATATGTAAGTGTATTTATTAAATTTTTTGATCTAAAAATTAATAACTACTGTAAAAAATTAATATTTTAATAAAGATTTTTATAAATTATTATTCTATATGTTTTATTCAAAAAGGGCAAAATATTTATTTTTTGCATCAAAAATTAAAATACCCTGCTTGGCTTTTAAGCAAAGGTATATTTATATGTCAAATAAATTCCGATTTAAAAAATAAATAAAAAATATGTAGATTGCCGTTTAGTCGTTTATATTTTAAAAGAAGAAATGGCTATAAAAAAGAATAACCCTAACCAATTTAGAAATTTTAAATTAAAGCCTCATCAAGCAAGCTGAAACAAATAATCTAGATATTGAATTAAGAAGTTTTCAAAATTAAAACTCAAAGAAATAAATAACCTTTAAACTTAAACATATTACAAGTAATATATATAACAATCAAAGAATTTATGATTTTATTAAAACTATAAAATTAACAAGCAATTCTTCTCTCATATATCTAAATTTTTGATAAAATTATTAATAAAATAATTTGTTAATTCTTAGTTTTGATATTATTTTACTTGAAGCAAAATAAATAAATAATCAATTAATTATTTTTATTTAATATTTTTTAATAGTATTTTATTAAATACCTTCTCAAAATGAAAATAAATATTTTTAAAATAATATTAATTCTGAATAAATTAATAAATTTTTTTTGAAAGTGGTTATTAATTATTACAGATGTTTAAAAAATATGAGATAATGGTTTTTTTTAAAAATATATATTCATTCATATTCTGAATAATTAATCTACCACTAAATTTAACTTTAATAATATGTGATCTAAAATTTAAGCATGCTACAAAAGGTTTAACATAAAAAAAATAATGTTAATATTTTTTAACTATAATTATGGTTATCAAGCTAAAAAAACTTTATCAAAATATTATTTATTTTTTAAAGATCAAAAATACTTTTAATTTATGAATTTTCAACAAATCAAGTGCTCAATTTGTGTGATTAAATATTATTATATGTAAATGATTTGCAAGCAATTAATTATAATGATTTCTACTATTGATATTTAGTTAGATATAGCGACTAATTGCTTATATTTTTAGTTTTTAGTGAATATTAAAAAAATTGTATGAATACTAAGGAAATTTTAGTATATTAAGGGAGGATGGAAAAAGTATAAGAAGGAGTGTTTTGGATTATCGATAAAATCTAATAAAATTTAAGTAGCATAAAGATTTTTTTCTATTGTGAAATTTATGTAAAAAATTATAGATACAGTATTAAATCAACCAACATTATTTTTATGATTTGATTGATTAAATTATGTTTCGCTAAGTCAATATAGATTGATTATAAATTAATTTAAAAAAATAATAAATCATAAAAAAGTTTATTATTTATTTAAAAGATTTTTTTCTATTGTGAAATTTATGTAAAAAATTATAGATACAGTATAAAATCAACCAACATTATTTTTATGATTTGATTGATTAAATTATGTTTCAAGTCAATATAGATTGATTATAAACTAATCTAAAAAAATAATAAATCATAAAAAAGTTTATTATTTATTTAAAAGATATAAATAGTAGGTAGAAAAGAAAGTAACATATAGCAAAATGAACGATAATTTTGGTATTGGAGCATTTCTTGTAGTATTGATTATTATCATACAATCAATTTTAGGTAGTTACTTTTCTCAGAAGAATGTTAGGTACTTCCATGAAACAGGAATTGCTATAGTCCTTGGGATGGTTGTGTCTATTTTTGCTTACTTTGCTTTAGACTACCAAGTCAAGTTAGAAAAAAGAATCTTTGTATACATTTTCCTTCCAGCAATAGTATTTGCTGAGGGATATTCTTTAAAAAAAAAAATATTTTTCAACAACATGACTTACATTTTGATTTATGGATTCTTAGGAACAATTATTACATTTAGTTTCCTGGTTGTTTCCATGAACTTTCTCTGTAACAATGATTTGATAGTAATTGAAAGGTATTTAAACTATTTAGTCTTTATAATATATTTTAAAAATAATTTTAAATAAAAGAGGGAATAAAAATTTAATTGATGATCCTAATGTAGGTACTGATCCTAAGCTAAATTCAAAAGAAATCATTTTATTTAGTGCAGCTTTAAGCTCTAAAGATTCTTTTTTAGCTTCAACAATGATCAACCATCATGCATACCCTACTTTGTTTCATATTGTCTTTGGTGAAGGTATAATGAACGATGCGACTTCATTAATTCTCTTTGAAAGTTTTGAATCTCTAATAGAACATGAATCAAATTTTACTTGGAGTACTGTTCCTAATGTTTTTATTGTATTCTTGATCAGTCTTACTTTAAGGTAAACATTTTTTTCTACTTATTATGAAATTTGTTTTTTATTTATTGCTACTTATCTATCTATCTATCTATCTATCTATCTATCTATCTATCTATCTATCTATCTATCTATCTATCTATCTATCTATCTATCTATATATTTCTTATTATTTTATATTGTATTTACATTAAAATTAATGGAAGAAAATTTGAATGACGATAAATCAATTAATTATCCTAAAAATAAATGTATCTAATTTAAATAAAGCAAATAAAAAATGTGATCGACCTATCCAAATTTAATTCTACTTCTAAAAAATTATTTATTTATTTAGAATTAATCTAATATTTTTAATATAAACAGTATACTATCTGGGACATTTTTTGGTATATTATGCACACTCATTCTGAAGCATATGCCATTTTTAAATTAAACAGTCATTCATGAGATTTTGATAATTTTTATGTGCAGCTATTCTGGTTATTGTATAATTGAATACTTCCATTTATCGGGTATTATTTCTCTTCTTTTCAGTGGATTTATTATTGGTTACTATGGGTTCCATAATATGTCTGACAAAGCTAAAATTTGTGCAAATGTTACTTTTCAAACTATATCTTGTGGTGCTGAAAATTTTTTATTTGCTTTTGTTGGTTTCACAACTTTTTCTTTCTATAAAAATGCTTGGAGCTTTTCACTAATTGGTTGGATATTACTTATTTTAGTAGTAAGCAGATTATTTTAAGTATTTGTGATGAGTGCTATTTTCAGATTGTTTTACCGAAAAACACCATTTTTAGTTAAATTAAGAGAATAAGTAGTAATATGCTTCACAGGTATGAGCAGAGGTATCCTTGGCTTTATATTGATGGACTAAGTAGAATCAAAAGAATACAAAGATCTGCTAAATAGTACTATGATAGGAGTACTCATTATAACAACGTTGCTATTTGGTTTAATTAATCCAAAGCTTATTGATTGTGTGTTACCTCCTCCAAAACATCATGAAAATGAGAGTCACGTTGATCATGAACATAAACATGCGTTAGAATCTAATTAAAAGAAAGAAACTCAAAATCAAAATGAAAATTAATAAATAATAGAAGTTTATAAATTAAGTAGTGCTTAGACTGAAAAACCTCTACCGATAAAATGTGAAGATATTTAGATGCGCAAGATTTAAACAGAAAAAGTAAACATATTAACAGAAAATATTTATAATAATCTACAAACAGAAGAAAATATTTTAGATACAGATTACTTCATATTAAAGAAGTAAAAGATAGAAATTTTGTTAAGCAATTAATATAATTAATATTATGAAAAGTTATTTATATCTAAAATATACTTCAATTTTAGTAGAATTAACGAGAAATATTTAAAACCTTTCTTGATTAGAGACTATAAATCTAAATTAGATGAATTTATTATATCTAATAGATTGTTTAAAGAAGATAGAATTTAGTTAACCAGACCTGTGGGTTAGAATAAAAACTAAGTATTTATATAAAACAGTTTAAAAAAGTTAAAAACTGCAATAAAAATGGCTGAATCATAAAGATATTCAATCGAAAGTAAAAGAAGCTCTTAAATTAATCACCAACCTGAGCTATTAAATTTAAAAGATAGAGAATAGCTGTACACAGATATTCAAATTAATTAGCATTAAGTCAATACTGAACCTTAAGAAAATAATAACAAAGAATAATAGTACATGTATACCTAATATTCAAATGATGAGAAATAGAATTTAAATTTATAATAGGATATATTTAATAAATAATTAAAAAAATAATGAATTACTTTTAGATAATATACTGTAAGCTCTCTATAATAAGACCCCCCATCCCCCTCCCCTAATTTAGAAAAAAGGGGATCATATGGGGTCTTATAGTAGGGGGGGATCCTAATATAGAGAGTATACAGTATATCATTCTAAGCCATTAATTAAAAATAAAAAAATAAATAGATAGATATATAAATAATCTTATTAATTTTAAATTAATGTTTGACTTATGTTTTCTTCATAAAAAAAGGTAATATATTTATTTTAATTCATAATTAAAAAAAGTAAAATTAATTTTATAATTTAAGTCTTATTTATTTTTTCTTTTATTTTTAAAATATCAATTATAATAATTTTATTATCAATCTAATTTTGTTAGAACTCATAGTACTAATTAAAAAATTTTATATTCTAATTTTAGCAGAAAAATGAAATAATTCTACAATCTTAATAGTAATACTATACTAACTAGTTAAAAAAATTTAGCTAAAATATATATAAAAATCGTTCGTTAAACTAATAAAACTTCTTTTATTAAGTTATAATGATTTAATATTTAGTTAATGACATAGAATAATAATTTTAGAATACTTAAAAAAAAATATTTTTGTAAAGTTTAGCTAATAAATAAATAAATAATTAAAATATCTAAAATAGTTTATCATAGAATTGATTTTAATTTAATCAAACTAAAAATGTTTGTTTGTTAAATAGACAATAATTTCAAAAAATGTTTATTCAAATTTAAAATATTCAGAAAATATTGTAAATTAGTTTGTCTATATCCATCTATCTATAAAAAATAAATATGGCTAAATAAAAATTTAAGAAATTTAAATGTAAGACAGCGAAATTTAATTTTTTATCTTAATTTATGAAATTAAAAATAAGAAAGTAAATTATATTTTAAGGATAATTAAACAAACAAACAATATTTTTTCTTAAAAATAATTAAATCAGTATTTTTAGTAAATAAATAAATAAATTAGTAATAAATAAATTATCTATCATATATCTTTTCTTACAACTATATACTGTTTAAGACTATTTTAAATAACAAAAATATTAGAAATCATCGAAATATTATTAATTTTGATTAGTAGACTAGTCATAGAACGAATATATTTTGAAAATTTATGTATAAAGAATTGGATTTTTCTATTAGATCTATCGCTTGTTTAGAAATTAACTCTTTTAACTTTTTAATTGTAAGGATTGATAAATTTTCTTGTAAGTAACTACTTGTTTATTTGGAGAAAGATATATAAAAAATAGTAATTAACTTGCCATAAAATTAATTAAAATGTGATTTAATTAAACTAAATTATACACATAAAATTAGGCGAAAGTAAAAGCCACAAATTTAGATATATCTTTCTTTATTATTTTTATAAATTAAGTAAGATCTTAATGATGAAAAAGATCAATATTTGCTCTCTATTAACTTGTAAAAGTTTTATTATTTTCAATAATTTTTAGTGTGGTAACTATTTATTCAAACTTAAATATTAAAATTTTGGAAAAAGGTTTTTAAATATTTTGCTATTGTTTCGAAATTAGGTTTCATTACATTACTTTAAAAAAGCTTATTTGGCTTATTGTAAATTTTTCAGTCCTAATATGATTAATTATTCGCTATTTTCAAGTTCATTAATTTAATTTATAAATGTATTAAGAAATGACTAAATATAGATTAGTATTAGGATCTACTTATTTAGATATAAATAAACAAATAAATAATTAGATCAATGCATGCATGAATTATTTAATAATAAAATACACTTATATCTTAATTTTATTAGTAATTAGATGATATTTAATTAAAATACAGTAATCTAAAAAACAACACAATATTTAATTAAACACTAAGAATTTTAATTCATAGGTAGAAATGAAATTAAAAAGGGGAATTTTATCTTTAATTGGCTACTTTTCTAGAAAATTTTATACTCTAAATTATCATTAGATTATTAGAGGATATGAGAGAGGTTAGTTTTTTAGTCTATTTTTACTTTTAGGAAAAGGAATCCTCTTTCTTTTGCTTGGTATCTACAATTCAGATTATGTTAATATATCATCAGTTGATTATAATTTAATAGATTTAAGCTAAAATGATTACTTAAATTAATGGTAAACATACACTTACGCTGATTTTATTTAGTATATAAGCTTAGCCTTGAATTTAATTCTAATTATTTATTTAGTTAGCTGCTATTTCGACTTCATTGCGTTTGGTTATAAATCAATGATCCGACCTGCTGTAAAAATATCCTTTCCACAAAATAGCAGCATTGATATAGATGAAGATGAATTTATTACAAAGCTAAATAAAAAAATGTAGCTGAAAATCTATGAAATAATGGGCATTTACATTTCAATATATTAGTTTTTATTTTCAACAGTAATCTTGTATTATAGCTTAGTTCTGATAGAGCATCCATTAGCACCTATCAATCTTTTGGTAACATTAATTTCTGGTAAATGCTAATTATACGATTGGTTAATTTCAATGATTAAATGCAATATAATATTATTTCTTTTTACTAAGATTAATCTTCTTAAAAAGTAGAATATGATATTTGCTTACTTAGTTAACATTGTATAATAATACCAATTTTTAAAAACTCTTTCTCAATTTATTTTAAAGATATATTTCAAAATGTAGCTAAAAAGCCCATTATGTTTTTTTATTTTTAATTGATAAGAATATGAATTTTTTTTAGCTCTTTTTTTATTAATTTTTAAGATAATTTATGCAAATTCTTTACATTACTTATTACTTTGCTAATGTTATATTATTTTAAATTTAGGTACTATAATAATTGATTCAGACTTTGATTATTCTATAAACTCAGACGATTGTATGAATAAGCCTTATAATCCATACAATGTTATTGTTTATTATCTTGACTTTCTGATTATGCTTTTAATTATAACTACAAATTTTAATATAGATACTTTGCTTTTGGGAATTTATTTTCTAATAAATGGGTGGTTTTCTTTCCATATTTGCACTTTTTACAAGCTAGAAAGTAGATTCTGGAATACTTTCACTTATTTATATTGTGGTGCACTTTGTTTAACATTTTACATCTCTTTTGAAGTCTCCTATGTTTCTAGTGTACCTTCCTTGATGTTGGTTATTTATATACCTATTTTTTATAAGCTGACTTAGCATATTTGTAATTGGTAAGAGAAAACTCACAATAATCTCCTCAAAGATATTTTCGGAGAAAATAACAATATTAATTTGAGTAGTATAGATAGAATTATTAGGTTATAATTAATAAAAGATTTATAGAATTAGAAAGTTGATGATTCAGAGAAAATAAGTATTTATAGCTTTATCATCAAAAGAAAATAGCAATTTCAAAATGAACAAATTAACTAGCTATAAACCTAAACTAGTAATTAACTTTCTTTAAAAATACTGATAAAAGAAATAGAAAATGGATAAAATGAAGATTAAAGTGTTTTGTAGTTTTTCAAAGAATAAATATAATCAATTTCAAATAAAAAGAGTGAGGAAAATAATAGAATAGTCTTTTTGGTATATTTACTCGAGGTTATGAAATGCAATAAAGCCTATTTTCTTGAATTTTAACAAATAAGAAAGGAAAATTTAGGTCTAAAGTAAGAATAAATTTTAATGACGGCTCATATTAAATTCTTATATAAAAGATAAATCTTATAATAAACATTAAAAATGCAAAATATTTTTGACTAGTAATTTTATAGAGTGCTCAATTACGAAGAAAAAATACAAAAAACCTTCTAAATCATGGACTAAGCAGTTTATTAGAAAGTAGAATTTATTTCTCTTTTAAAAAATAAATAGATTGATGTTTTAAATTTGGTAAAAAAAGTTACTGAATTAAGAAAAATTTAGTTAAAAGTTAGAAATAACATAAATGAGTTATCAATTATTAATAGCTCAAATAAAGATTTAGTTTCTTTGTAGATCTGCTACTTAGAAACTCTTTCCTTTCAAGAAAAAGATTTAATTATAGATCTTGATCTGTCATATTTAAATGAAATTCACCTTTCTTAAATTGACACTCAGTTAATAAAATAAAAACTTAAAATAAGACAAGCTTATGCTAAACGTTTCTAAAATAAACAAATTGATGATTCCTATAATCCTTACTAGGATTTTAATCTTTTTAGCAAGTAGTCATGTGTTATTTATGCGTAAATAGAATAAAATTATAATTTATCTATCAAGAAAGTATCTTCTTCCTTTTTACAAGTGTTTGGAATCACGTAATAAGATGCCTAAGATAAAAGAGTAGAAATTTTAATGCCTCCAAATACAAATTTGATTAATTAGCATAGATAATATATTGTAAGCTATTTTTAAAATTAAAATAACAATGTATGTTATTTGAAAAAAAAAAATCTATTTGGTTACTAACAGTAAGGCTTTATATTTCCCATTAAGGTTGATGTCCGTCTAAATTACAGTAACGGGTTGAATCAGATAGGGCTTACAGCTTATATCTAGCGCATTTATGACGAAAATGATTATATTTTGTTCCAATCTGATTCTTTAAATGTGATTGGTGCAACTTAAAATATTTTGAAGAACGTCTTCTTAAAAAATAATATAGAAATATAGAAATAATCAGATTTAGGTTAATTCTTTCCATTTTTATACAAATTAAAGCAGGATAAAAAAGCTAAACTATAACAATAATAAAAGGAATTTTAAGAAATCTAAGATTTTGAAACTAAAAAAGTTAATTCTTTGAAAGAATTATTATCTCAAAAGAGCATTAATTAAAAATATACCAAAATCTTAGATGAACATAATTTTGAAAAGTTCAAACTACATAATTAAGAATATATGCTTATCATTTAAAATTTTTAATCTTCTAACCAAGTTAAAAATTAAGTTAAACTTTAAAATATATCTTTCTCTTTAGTTGAAATAAGCATTAATGACTGCGAATATAAAGATGTTGATAACTTGTACTATATGAAAATATCTAAAATAAAACCTGTTCAACCGGAATTGAATTCATCTATAATTCTAAAGTATCTTAAGGAGTATTAAGAGTTTTATACTTAAGTTTTTACAAAAAATACTTTAGAAACTTTGTAAACAGAATTAGAATATAAGTTCTTAAAAATGGATTCTTTAGAAAAAAGCAATTTTAATTTTCAATTAAATTAACAAAATACTATTCAAAGTTAATTTAATTAAAACCAACAAAATTGTTAAAAGTGCTTGGAAGAAAATAAATTTTCAGAAAATAAAAGCTAAGATTTTGATAATTCGAATGAAAACAATACATTAACCCCTACAAAATCCAAATAATAAAGGATTAATACCATTAATAATAATTCTATTTATAAAATTTAAGAAGAAAACTCTCAACTAGCAACTAACAGTGAATAGAAAAGCCAAATATATCCTTAAAATAAATAAAATGATGCTTACCTGCAAGTAGAGATTCCTGACTAAAGTAACACCTATTATCATTCACCAAGAGATATTTTTAGCTAAAATTTTAGAAGTTAGTAAGATTTCATTTCATTATAACAAATAAGAGATAGCTACAACGAAAATGAAGAAATAAAATACGGCATTCCTTTAACTTCTAATAGAAAAGAGACAAATAGAGAACTTTTAAGTGAAGTTAATCTCTATAGTTAAGCAAATATAAACTCCCCAAAATAAAATTTTGATGAAAATCTATTATTTTAAAATGTAAAACAGGGTAACTTAAATAATAATGATAAAAACGGACAAATTTAAACAATTGTCAGTTTGAAATTAATTAATTAAGGAGGTTATAAAAATGAATAAATATAAGTATAGCAGCTATAAAGTACTCAGGAGATTACTTCTTTAAAAATGATAGATAATGCTCACTAAATAAATTCTTAGCAGAGGTTTTATCAAGATTAAGATATTTTATCTTAGAATTTATTAAACGTCAATGAAACTAAGGAAACAACTTATAAATTTTAAATGAAGAAGATGAAAAAACGAAACAAATAAAGGAACAAAGAAGACCAATTAGAAAATAACTCTTCTTCAGTTTCAAGAGAATCTTCTTCATCTACTAAAAAAAGATTAATTAAAACAATTAAAAAGTAGACCAGCTTATCTGCTATTAAGATCGTTATTTTATTCGGTGTGTTAACATACCTAGCACTAAGTATTCTTACAATTTAACAATATTTTAATTTCATAAATTCTGTTGATTTTATGAATTAAAATCTGAATTCTCAAAATTGGCCTTTCGAAATATAAATCGTAATTAGTAGATCTCTTAAAAATTTGAATATAATACATACTGAAAGATAAAATAATTTTACTTTTCCTTCTCAAGCAGATCATAATAAATTTGATGCTTAATTAATAAACTAATTGTAATAAAGCTAACAATAATTTATGTCCTTAATATAAACTATGGATTAGAGTGTAAAGGGTAAAATGCTTTATGATAGAATCAGTGTTTATAATTCTTCCTTTTACGTAAATTAGATTTATAATCCAAGTAACCTAACAAAGGCTCCTTCAAAAAGAACAACCTTTAATTTCGAATAAAAAAATTCATCCTTGCTATACTCCATCATTTTCATCAATTACTACATTTATTAACAATCAATTAATCCTACTGGAAAGCTATAAGAGGTTTGCATTCTTCAAAACCTTTAAGATATCCTACTAGGCGTCAAAGACACCTAAAATTACTTTTAAAATTATCAAAGTTAACAAGTTAAACAGATTTAAGATTCGTTATCTCTTTAAATCGGAGTGATTTTGGCTATATCTGCTATATGTTTGTTAAGTAGTCTTCCTCTATATTCATATATTTAAAAGAGAAAAGATAAAACAATTCAACTCTTCTGCACTTTTCCTGTCAGTCAACTATAAAACATTATTATTAAAATAAGGTAATCATATTACTAAAATAAAGTAATGAATCCTCATATAAAAAATATACCAATAGAAATTCAGATGCTCAATTATAAATCATAATAAGAATCTTAAAATCACAAAAAATAAACCCTAAGCTAAATAACAAAATTACCACATTTTAGCTATTCTCTTTTGATAGCTATTTTCATCTCTTATATTTTATTATCCTTCTATCCTATTTTCAACCGAATCTTCGTCTAAAAATATCTTGATAACTTGGATAATAATCTGATGATGCTTGGTAAATTTTTTAAACTTTAAACCAATATATAAATTTTTATATTATCTCAAATTTTTTCTTTTACTCCTTTTAAAGCAAATAAATATATTTAATAAAAAAATAAAATATTTTTAAAAACTTACTTTTTAATTTATTGAAATATTGAAAATAAAATAATTTATTTAACTTTTTTTTTTTTTTAAATAAAGAATATTTAAATACAGCCAGATCTTATATTATATACAGTTCAGGGATAATTTCTTTTGGATTTGATATGAAGGTTTTTCCAAGTTCAAGGATAGTGTAACTGAGCGATTACATTCCCGAAATGTAATCTATTATGAGCTAAACAAATAGCCTTCTGACTAATCTAACAATTGTTTCTAATTAATTTAATCTTAATGGAAGGTAAAATCTTATTTAATAAATTTAAATATTAAATAAAATAATAAAAAATTAGATATAAATAGTAATAATTTGAAAATTTCTTTTTTCCTTTGTTTGAAGATGATATGTGCGATTTGATATCGAATAATCCTTACTATACTATCAATTCTACTGTATTCAAACCATAATTATGTAAAACTATTTACAATGGTTTTCTCTAAAAAGGCTTAAAGCTATCCATAAAGTAGTTTAGCTAAAAACTACAAGAACTTTATGCAATAATATAAATTAAAGATGAAAAAATATAAGTTAAAGCTGTTTAAGAAATATTTAAAACATTTAATATAGAGGATTATTCTAATTTAATAGATTATCTAGATGAAATCATTAAAATAATGAAATACTTTCTCCTAAGTAACTGTAGTGAATACTATCAATATCTAAAAGAAGTGCAGCTAATTCTTATTATTTATCAGCTCATATTAATAGCTTTTATATTTGGCTTTTGCTGGTATGCGTTTAGCAGTGTATTAGCTTAACAAATCACAAAATTTAAGCATCATTTATAGGT